CGCGACGCAGAAAATGCAAGGAGCTGCAATAAGTGCGCCGATATGGCATTAATATGAATAATAATTTATTGATTGTATAATGAAAGTATCGCAATAACGAGACTCTGGCGAGATTCCAGAAAGCAGGCAGCCGACAGAAGAGAATATAAAAATCCAGCGAGGGGCTTGGTGGTTAATTAAAATCACATTGGATGTGTTATTAAATATATTAAATGTTGTTTGTCTTAAATGGCGCCTGAAATGTATCACAAAAAGGCTTTACTTTCAGTCGTGTGTATAGGGGAAGTGCCCTTCTTACACTTAATTTAATGCAAAAGGAAGGGAAATCGCTGAAAATTAATTAATAAAGAAATACATTTGTGGTTTTGTTGATCACAGAAGCTTTAACACTTTACGGAATACCAGAAGATATTTTATTTGTTTTAATTTGTGAATATAAAAATAAATAAATGCAATATTTTCCTTGGGCCTTAACATCCTCTGTCTTTAAAAAGCGGCTTTAATAAAACGGGAAAGCACTTCCGTGTGTGCTGCATTTTGGATAGGATTTGAAAACGTACAAATTTGAAAAAGAATATTTTGTGTGCGTGGCACACTTCCCCGCGTTTCTCAATTTTCCCCACCTTCCGGTGCTGCGTACTCTGCGAACTCATTATCATTCTCTCCGGTCGCTGGAATCTCATTGTTTATGCCCAACCAATTTTCTTCGCCCATTAAGAATTTTCCCATTACTCATACGCACCGTGCGCACATTTCCCATCTCTGGCGCTCGTATTCTATGGCGTGCCACCGCTTTTCCGGCGGGGGAAAATCAATGGGACTCGTTAGTGCAGCAGCTCTGTGCCTGCAGTTTTCCGCTTTCCACGCTTTCCGCGCTTACCCGTCAGTCGCGTGTCATCGCCATCAACCGTCAACGAGCTCGCGAATTGCAAAAATGTTTTAATGCGCTTATTGACAGCCGCTGATAAGGGCGAACAATTTTAAGCACTTCAGCTGGAAGTCGCGGCCGAAGACGCGTCCTTGGCGGGAGTCCTGCGAGTTCACTCACTCGTCCCTGCACTTTGCACCTGTCTGTCTGCACTTGCAGGTCCTCGAGAACTCGAGAAGGAGCGGCCCTCGTCGGTGTTTGCTCTTCCCTGGTTTGTTGGCCCCGAGCGGACGTGACAGCCGTTTCTTGAGGGCGATGATGATGTTTGCCCGTCGGAAACCGAAGGGATTAATCATTTAACAGGAACTCGATCTCAGTAACTATGCGTTTAATGGCTGCCCGTGGGGACAGCCCTTGACCGTGGCAAGTGGGTACGAATTGAGCAGATAGTGCCAATTAAACCCTGAAGTTTAGAAATACCATTTGTATACAACAGCTATAGCAGACGAAAACCCTTAAGCCGTGGATTATTCATTTTCTTGTCCAAACAAATTAGCAAACACATTTTATGTTGATGCAAAACTGCTTACTGTACATTCTATTAAATTCCGCTCAAACATACAGCTTAATTTAATTGACCATAAATGACATGTTATTTATGGGGTTAATTGCTGATTTTTTGTTGGCAAACCAAACCACAACTATGCACTTCAAAGTCTGCTGAAAGCCACAACTAATGGCATCACCTGTTACAACCACACGGAAAAATAGTCCCTGGCCTTAGTGACTTGCTCTTCAGAGAATCGTAACGAGGTGAAAGAATGACAGGCTGGGGAATTATTTCTATTGAAGGAGCAGTGTCTTTTCAGCAAACCTAACCCACGAGCAAAGCATTTCTATAACCGTGGTGACGCAATGTGTGATGGGAAGTAGAAAAGGTCGTTTGATGTGCGTTATATCGTAATATATTGCACTATTCTCGGAATTGGTTGGCATGGTTTAGTGCTGATTGTCCAATTATCTGTGTGGAAATGGCAGATGAGTTTACAGAAATTTGTCAGAAATTCATTAGGTAGGTTTCCGTTTCCGTACAGCCCTTTGAAATCCTATCCCTTAGAAATAATTAATTGCTTAAAAGGCCTTGCAGATACATGCTTAGCTTTTAACCGTTGTTAATATCAAATTGTAGTAATTGTTCTATTGTCAGTCAAATGGGAACTAAGAAAAGCAGCCAAAGCCGGTTTATAATAGGGTATTTTTGGGTCGGAGGCTCTCAAGAGGAGGGCACCCTTGACTCACTCGATGTGCTCGGGAATTTTGCCGGTCCACAAGTCGCACTACACTCGACATAACCAGCGTCTGACAGTGGTTTTCATGTCGTGTATCTTTATGTCTATTTACTCGTACTTGTATCTCCGTATCTCACAGTTTACTGCCGCTCCTGCTGCTTGACCCACTGAGGCCAGATTACGTGAATTGTCCCCTGTACGCCGGAAGCAGATCCGTAGAACAAACCCGGAAAGCCAGACGGGAACCGAGATGGCAGCTTCAGCGCTGCGATAAGCGGGCGACGAAAATTTCAAAGGGCATAAAAATTTAAATCACGTCACTTACGGCGAGGATAGCAAGGATAGATAGGAGCAGGGACCAGGGACACGGGGCCGGCGACAGCACAAAAGACGCAGCTACAAGTCCGGACATAATGGGTGCCATGTAAATAGTTGCCCCAGACGGAGGCACACGGTTTTGGGACCCAAGTCCCGGTGCGGGTCCGCTTTCCCGTCCCGACTCCAATTCGAGACCATGCACTCAGAAAAAATTACTACCTACTATATTTCTGTGTGGGTGATGATTAAGTAAATTCGCAACCAATTTAAATTTGCGATTTGTAGAAAGAAGGTTGTAATAATTAAATAATACTTATTGTACATACAGAATAATAAAAATCTTTACAATTAAATAAATTATCTTACTTATCTTAAATGTACGTAAATACCTGAAAATGTAAATACACAAAATAATCCCGAAAAAAGCCAATGTATAATATAATGTGTACCTTGTTAATGTATTCACATAGAGTTTATAGCTAAAATAAATATCTTGAAAAGGTAAATTTGTTTAAAAATATACCAAATCTCCGGTGACTTGTACGGCAAAAAGAAAACATTTATTCAGAACTTTTGCTTCAAAAGTTTTAGAATGTGTTCATATTTTAATATGTGGTAAAGATTTTATAATTAAAAGTTAGTAAAGGCAAAGGCTGTTGGGACTTTCCAATGTGCAATAAATTCGTGGGCCTTTCTACAAGAAATTCTTAAGATCTTTTATAGGTTAAGCAATCTCGTCTCTTTCTGGGGAAAGAATAGTAGTAAGTGTAACTTTTTTTTCGAGTGCACGCTGATTTGTAAGTACACGTGGGTTCGTGTGTGTAAGTGTGTGTGTGTGTGTGTGTGTGCTGTTAAGCCGCTTTTGGGGCAGGCACTCAGGCACAGGCCCCACCACACAAACAGGAGCATCGTCCATATCCACAGGACGAGTTCACGTGAGCGTTTGTCTCCGCTCCTTTGTGAGTCCGGGCGTGCGAGCGTGTGTGTGTGTGTGTGTGCATGAGAGTGTGTGAGTGCCAGGACGACGGGCATGTTGCTGAGGCGCGGCAAAATGCTTGTTACGCTTTTGAGCCACCGCCTGCGGTTGACAGAGCACGTTGAACCGCCCAACCCGTTCGGATCGAGCCGTGCACTTGGCCACCCGACCACCCATCCACCCACTACCGAAACTACTGAAACGTCCAAACGGCCCAACCACCCATTGAAAAAGCATCCAAACAGTCAGCCCCTCTGTGGCCTGCTGCACATTAAAACGCAATTAAAGTTGCAGGCGTTAATTGTGCCGCCTGTGTTGCCATTTTTTGCACTCCTTTCCATTGCGCCTCTTGCCGTTTTGAGTTAGCTGCCGAAAATTAATTACTTTTGCCCTGTCAAAGTTGCCAAAGTCATTGCAAAAGAGTCGGAAAAGATATTGCTTGAGGAAAACTGAAAGAGTCGACAAATACAATCAGGTGTGTTCTGGAAATCGCTTTCCGGAAAATGCCGCGACCACCTTTAAATATAAATGAGAGAATACGAATGAGCACAAATATTATTATGGTGAAAAAGATCATTTTATTTGTTATTATAAAAACATTTATAATTAAACTGAACATTTTTTGACACTATCTTTGTTTTTATTCAAATATGTAAGTATTCAAAAATTTATTTGATTGTCTAAAAAAATTGCTGCATAGCGTACGTGAATTTATGCTTTACAGAAAATCGCGTATTTCTCCATTAAGGTCCTTTCCGAGGAGATTTATCAAATATCTTTTAAAATTAAGAAACATTGCAAAAGTCTTAAATAAAAAATCAGTTTGCCTTAAAATCCGCCATGATGACAGGCCACAGTTTTGCGTTTAGCCATAGCTTGAACGCACAGTTTTCCTTGCATTTCCTTGGGAAACTCCACCGCAAGAGAAAATCGCTGGCGGGAACGCTCGCATGTGAATGTCTACTAATGAATCAAGTCCATGAATAAGCCGCAAGTGGATTTTTTGCGACTTTTGGTGGCTGCAGCATTGCGAGGTGGTGGAAAGTAAGTGGGCGTGGCAGGAGTCGGCTGGTGCTAATGGGGTCACACACACACCCACACACCCGCACACACAAATACTTAATAGTTGGATGGTTTTTCTCTAACTGTTTCTTTCGCCAGTTGTGCAGTTAAATCCTTTTGCGAGGCAACTTTATCTCTCGGCACAGATTCTCAATAGCAGCTGCTGTATTTTTTGCCTCCGCTGCTGACGTTGCACGCTGCAACCGTTGTTTATATCGCAGCTTTTTCTTACCCGTTTGTCTATTTTTCCATTTTCCGTCTGCTCCACGCTTTTCCAGCTGTCGTGAGCTCGGCTTAAGCGCCAGTCGCTGGCGACGTGCCGCTGAAATAATTAAGTTGCCAATTCCGGCGAAGAGAATATCAACAGCGATTCAGAGGCAGCCAGAGATAGAGAAAGAGATAGAGATAGAAATGGAGACGGAGATGGAGATGGAGATAGTGGCTTACTCTTAGTGGCATATTTTTTCAATTAGCCTGTCTGTTTGAGCAGCAGGCTCTGCTTTTTAAGTATTTCCCTGTGTTTAGTCGTTCTTACTTACTTGTTTGGGAACTCCGTTTAGCTGAGAAGTCGAAGCTTAAAGGTAAGCATTGTAAAAAAACATCAGTCCCCACCTTGTTCCCTGCAATCATCGCCAGTCCAATTTCGCTAAGCTTGGCCTACTTAAAAACTCGGCTCTTTCGTTCGCCTTGGCAACATGTCGCTCACCTAATTTCCAGAAATATCCCCCGGTGCTGCACCACAAATAGAAAACAAACACACCCGCTGGCAAATAGACAGCTTGTCGAACATTTCGTTTGGAAGGAAATGCGAGACGTTTCTCGAATATTACGCATACGCACGGTTGGCTGCCACAACACCGCAACTAAGTCGTTTTCTCTGCATCAGATGTCGACGTTTTCGTTGGCCTCCTGTGCTGTGCTGTGCGGGCTGGTGAGCCGAGTAGAGAGCAGAACAGAAAGTGAAAACTGTTGCAATTTTCACCAGCAATCCCGCCCAGTTGACATTCTTTTGAGGAAAAGCCTTTGGCCTTGTCTCCAAACGAGATGGTTTGATCATTAGCATTATGGACGAGGCGGAGTTTGCAGAAAATTGCCTGACAGCTCACTGGGAGAAATTCATTCGTTCGTGGGTCATCTCGAATATAAGTATATATTCTCATATTAGTTTTTTTAGATGGTACATTTGATAACAAGAAGGAAACTTAAGAAGGCAGAACCTTGTATTTCTTCTAAAAGAAGACATCATTAAAGGTGGGAGAAATTCCCACTAAGTTTACTAAAACTTCAACCAGTTTTCAAGAACTTAAACTTTATTCCGAATATCCGTTAACTTTCCCTGTGTGCCAATTCACTTTCCTCCGAAAAAGAAACCGAATTGCAACTGGGTCGATTGGGTGCGGTGCAATTTGAACAAAGGCAGCAGAGGCACCGCGATGCGCGACATGTAGCGTTTAAAGTTAGCAGCAGGCGAAGCCAATGAATACCAATTCAATCGATAGTGCGAAGCGAACTTGTGGCAGCCTCAGCAGGGCAGACATTTTTCTGCTCGGCTGACCAGGGAGCGGAAAAGCAATTTCGGTCTGTGCCACCTCAAGTAGCCTGCCTTCTGCCGCCTGCCGCCTGCTTCCCAACTTTCTGCCAGGCCAAGCGATTTGCAAATTTTACCAACGCATCACTGGGCATTGCTCACAACCAATCGGGGGCATTAGCTGGGTAAAAAATATAAGACGTCTCAACCGAATACGGGGAAAATGCTCAACTTTTTAGTCAATCAACTAGAAAAAATCTGCACTCGCACTCGCACTCGCAGCTTGAAGAAGTGTTCGCGTGTGTGTTTCCCAGATGGAATATCTGCATACTGGGCCCAAAGTTTCCACAGCACGGAATTAAGCGATTAGATGGAAGTTTGCCACCCGGTTGCCACGCATAAATTATTCCGAGTTTCCGCTTCTGTCGCCAGCAGATTCGCACACTGCAAAGCATGTGGGTACTTAATCTTCAAGCTATGAATCCATATCAATTCAAAATAATTCTCGCTTTTAAAACATGCATATCATGCACAGAATACCAGGTACAACTCTTTTGGCTGCTTTAAACCTTGAGTACTCTGAATGGGCTTAAAGATATCACTTGAAAACTTCTGGTTGTATTTACTCGTCGTTCCATGAATTGTCTATCAAATTCAACCCACTTTTTCCTGTGTAGGATCATAAGTCTCACCATGGATGCGCATTCGACAGCCGTTGCCATCGCAGATATGCAACTGGACTGGAAATGGAATGTGGACGAGCCAAGAGACGAATGCGACGGCTCCGAGGCGGGGGGTTGGGGGGAGGACTTGCGGGCCAAGATGCGCCGCCTGCAGGACGATCATGTGTGGATCCGGCAGCAGATGACGCACCTCCAGCGCCGCCTGGTGACGCGCCAGTTGGAGAGGCAGAGGCGCCTCTACGAGGCAAGGGAGCACCTGCAGCAACTCCTGCGAGCTCTGCAGGTGAAATACGGTCGCAATTGGGGCTTGTAGAGGAGCCTTTGGCTTCGAGTTCGCCTGCCGACCCTCCAAAGTGCAGAGTTCCTGTGACAAACGCTCCAAATTCAAACGACGTGAAAGGATGCCGACTGAATTGCTTACCCAACTTGAGCGTGGGAGAACTTAAATACACCGAGATGATGAATTGAATTGTTCATGATGTTCTCAAATTTGGTTGGGTTAACCTAACGCATTCTGAATTGCGCTGAATAATTTATTGACGAATACTTTTACGCCGGAAATGCAAAATATTCTTTTAAACGTGACATTCAATCTTTAAATTCTTTAGCGCTCCATAAACATCCTTGCTTGTTTACTTATTTAGGATTCTTGGGCAAAAATCCACAGCAGTAAAATTAAATTTTTCCTAGGCAATAGGTTAATTAAATACATCCTAACTTGCCATTAAGTAAATATTGCTAAGAAAATATCCGTTTTATATTATTCTTTGGGTAAAAGCTAAATGAAACGTTTTTCAAGAAAATCAGTCTAATAATAATAACTTTTCATATTTAATTTGTGACTTAAATAAGAACCTTTATACTAAGAATGCATAAATCCCTTTGTGATGCCCCAGGGGAGCAGTACACACACCAATTAATGCAGCCGTCTCAATTGTAATCCCAGTCAAGCAGGCGGACTGATTAGTGGTCCATCGCAGTTGTTAAACAGGCTTGTGCATCGCTCATCTTGGCCAATTGCCCATCAGACATGCCGGGAATGTCTAAGTGTGTGCATAAGTCATGCGATTAATTCACACCGCCAAACCGAAGACCCCATAACTCCGACCCAATAACCCGAGCCCCCAGGCAATCGAGGTTCGCCTTGAACTGCGTAACCCAATTAATCAGACACCAGTGGCGGTCGAGTGCATCACTTGACTCGAGATTAACCCCTGACTGCCGACGTGCCTCCCCTCCCCCTCCCAGTTCATCCGATGCCTGCGGCGGGATGCAGCCACACTCCCATAAGCCACTTACACGGACCCATTGCTGTTAGCAACTATTTACGGAGACAAGTAGATGTCGCATGCCACCTTTAAAGTGCACAGAGAAAAACTAAGTTTTTAAAAGAGTTTAACTCCTATGAAACAGATATGTGACTATTATGTTTAATAGCTCTTTTTTGTACCATTAAACCGCATGTTTACGATTTGCAACATCCATGAAAATATACTTTCGAATTTAGGCCGGCTTTCTGGGCCATTTTCTCGCCATGCACAACCGAACCAGGCCCACACACGCCGCCATTGTAATGATATGCCTTCCGGCCTCCGTCGGCTGCTGTTTCTGTTCTGCCTCTGCTCCTGTCCCGCTCAGTTGGGTCCTGGCCCCAAGTGCACTTGCCTGTGGATGACACCTAGCGTGTTATCATTAAACACTCGCAGAGCGAACCGCAGGGGGAGGGGGTAAGGGAGGGCGGGGAGGGAGGGGAACCCCGCCATGTGACATCACTTGAGTGGACCATAAACGGCAACAAATGCAAATGCAAATGAAATTATTGCCGCCACAGCTCTATTTCTCTGAATGACCAGCGACACGACAGCCCTTTTCGAAAACTGTTTGTATATGCAGGGACACACCCACAGATAGACCACGCCCCCTTCCCCCATCGCCCCCCGCCCCCCGAGACCGCCCATCGAACGGAAGGGCTGCGACCCATAGCCATTGGCGACCGACTGCATTTCAGCGATATAAATATTTATATAAGTTAATCGGTTTATGGTGCACGAGTAATTGAATTTCGCGACGGCGCCAGGTAAATGCATCCAGGTAGCATGTAACATGTAACACACACCCCCCTCATCCCGTCTCTCTCTCCCCTCTTTCCCACCTCTTCCCTTCACCTCCAACAGTGTTGCAAAACGGCAGCGGGATGCTTTAAATTTGATTTCTTACTTTGTGCATCCGTTTCCGCTGGGCCCAGTGGCAATGTCCGTCGATCGGGCATATTGGCTTATCCAAAGCTATCCAAAGCTAGAAGAGGAGGTTTTCAATTTCCAAAAGCTTCAGGCCCATTTGTTTGAACTGAAGTATTTTTGGTTTTGTATTTCTTAGAACATAAACAACAAAAATAGTTTTTTTGTTTCTATAATCCAAACGATTAACAAATAATTGGTGATTTTATTTTATTTTTTTTTTTTGTTTGCTCTTTGCTTATCATTTTTATTGGCTTTATTTTCCTACTTCATATTTAGACTTTATCCTGATTGCTCTTAGGATATCAACAATAGTTTTAATAAAGACTAATTTAAGAAATAACTAAGAAGTTCCAATTATTTTTAGTCCAGTCATGCGTTCGTTTTGTCGATATTTAGTAAGTAAGGGTGAAACCCCTTCTTGACCTCAATACAACTCGATTGTGTCAGTGTGCTTTAACTCAATCGAGCTCTAAACAAGTTAGAATGGGAACTCAATAGTTGACTTCTCAGAACAGCAATTTCCTACTCACTTCAAAGGTTTTCATAAGTATGCAAGACATTTCAATTAACATGAAATGTGGTAACCGTCCGAACCAGAATCATCAGTATCGACCCACGTCTGTGGATTAAATTCAAGCTTCCAGGGTTGTCGCAATTATGTGTAATCTCTGGGGTTCAGCTGAGAAGAGCATCCTGGCTTGCATTCAAGAGCTGCCACTAATATGGGGTTAACAGTAACCCACCCGTCCGTTCCATTAGCCCTTTTCCCCTCCCCCTCCACCCTTCCGACATGGAGCATGCTCCAACATGGCGCCAACCGGAAGTGCCAGTCCGCCCAGCAATGGCCGACGCGTTGCCCCGTTTCTATGGCACTTCCGCTTTACTGCACATTAATTGCAATTAAATTTGGCATTACTTCCCTGCTCAAACCCCCTCTCCCCCTTCGCACCACTCCCACGGCTGCTGTTTTTCCATCTCCCGCAGCCCCACGCAAATTCAACGATGGCTGCAGTTTTTGTACCCCGCGCTCTCCCATTCTTTGCATAATTTAAGGTTGTTTGCTCTGGCTGCTGCTGCTGCTGCTGCTGCATTATGGCCAAGTGAGGCAGGGCTGGTCCTTTGGGGCAGGAGTGGGCATTCCACGCTGCCGCCGCTTCTGCTGCACTGCCTCGGATATTGTTGATTTCAATTAACTGCGCGTCTAGCTAAATGGCAAGCAAATTAATGTTTACAGTGCATAAATGTGCAATTAATAGAACCCCCTCCCCCTCCTCCTCCCCTTCCTCTTTATGTGTGCTTGTGTGTGGTGACGTCATTGGCTTCTGGCTCCGATGGCGTCATGTTTCATGTTTAATAAGTTATTTATGTTAACAGCACAAGCCATAACGCCTAAAGCAGCTCGATATATAATATTTCGGGGTCTGCCTGGTGCCGTAAATTAATGAAGCGCTATTGCAGATCTTTAATCTCGAGATTTTGCCATATTTTAGGGTTAACATTTATGGCCCAAGTTGCGTGAACTGTTGAAACAGAAGTCGAGGATTCTGGGCCACCATCTGCAGTGTCCTTTTCCATTCTCCTGGCAGATAAACACAGCTGCTTAGCTAGTGAAATTAAAACGTTAACAAGTTTTCCACTTATTTGTACCCTTCTTAATTTCAAAAGTAGTTTTAAAAGCTTTTAAAAACAAATCCATACCAATAAAAAACTGGATTTAAATAGTAGATATTCGTACTTCAGTTTGATAGAAAAAGGCATATTATTTTATATTTTATTTCATAAAAGTATTAAAAGGCAAAAGTATTTTGCTCCGTGCAGTAGTTGTTTCTCCGTTGTGTCGGTGCCAAAACTTTAATTGCCTTTCGGGCCGAAAACTTTAGCAGAATCTGTGGTGCTATGCATTTTGTTAACATTTCCGGTGACTTCTCGCTGGTGACGTCCTGGCAGCAAGACTCCCACCACCACCCCCTCTCCGACCTCCTCCCGCCTTGACTTTTGTTGTTGTCCCCGGTTTGTGTGCCCTTTTAATTGCCCATTGAAAGTTGTTCACTTGTTAAAGCGAACTTTCGCCTGCCAAGTTGTTCGCTCGGCAGTGAAGTGGAGTGAAGTGAAGTGTAAGCAAGGAGCGTGAAACTATGTGTTATGCAATTAAAAGTGCAGGCGCAGGCGACTAAGCCGAATCGATGCAGATGCGGATATTCAATTGGCCGACGGCAGCCAATTTGCCGCAACTTATTTAAGGATCAGGAGTTCCACCGGAGAGCACTGGTGGCAAAACTGGCCGGAGAGCTGGGGCGACCGCAGCTGCAGCTGCTCGTAATGAGTTTTCCATGCATTCAGGACTGGCGAGACAGCTGCCTCAAGTTAACATCATGTGACAGCTGCAGACAGAAATCACGCCCCGCCCGCCCCCGCTATATATCCCAGAGTATCCTATCCGTCTCAATGAGGACGGCAGACAGAACAAAAATTATTATGTTCCGTATGGTTAGGAGCCCAGGACATACACTAAAGAAACACCTTTTAATCCATTACAAACTCTCAGGTTATGATACAAATTGGAAATGTAATTTAACACAAGATGTATTACATAGTATGCCAGATCCAATAGAACGATATACTTAACTTTAAACTTTAAAAATATATATTTATGAATTTATTTGTACAGTATCAAAACATATTGTTTGAAATAGCTTAAGGATTTTGCGGTTGTCTTTACGATATTTGCTTAATGCTTTTAGCTCAAATTGTTCCAGGTGTGTTTGTAGAATCTGTGGCAACTTTTTCTTTGCATTAGGTTGCATTGTTTTCCCTACTGCGGTGTCTTCTGCTGCTGACTGGCATCGCAGCAACAATATATTTTTCTGATTTTCCACTTGCATTATCACGTCTAAAAACTGTCTAGCACTGAAACATGTGTATTGTGCATTGTCTGGACTAAAGGGCATTTTCAGTGTGTCTGGTCGGAGGAGAGCGGCGGCGGGGAGGGTGCAGGAAATTCAGGCAATATATAAACATAATTTAAGAGCGGCCAGGGGAGAGCAACCCCACTAGCTGCCATGGAAAGCGAATAAATTATGAGTGCAGGGGGAACATCGGGAGACTCACATTTCTGACTCGAAGATACTCGTTTGTAGCTTTGTAGGAATTGGCCAAACCTGGCTGCAAAGGGCAGAGACTGAAAACTGGTAAACAAATACAAATTCCGAGTCGATTTCAGTTGGGCAAGTGCGTGTTATCAAAACCCGAAGTGCCTGCTAGATGCACAAGTAATATATGTAACAAGTGCTGGCAAGTGCCTGATTTTGATTTACTATCTTTGACCGCAAAATTGCAGTTTTCGGTCAGCAGAAGCAAACTGGTTTTGTGCTCCCATCAATATGTTGTTTATTTTATGCCGAAAAATGGCCCAGCTAGATGGGAATCACCTTCTGTTGTTGTGGTTAAATTAAAAATGTAATCATGTTTGAACGAGCTCGTGAAAATGTGGGCAAGATAGAGGGCTGAACAAGGACAATAAGAATTCCTCTGAACAGGAATAGAAGAGGTGGTTTTAGAGGAATCAACTGTAGATTGAATGAAATCAAATAAGACTATGCAGAGCCTTTTCACATTCCAGCATAAACTATAAATTAGGCCACCCCGAGATGGCAATCTGCAGGCTCCTTTTCCGCCGCCGCCTCGCTTCCTGACCTCTTCCATTGACTCGTCCTGTTAATTAAGTTTGCCTCTCTGCGCGTTCAGATAAGACTGCAGTGAGTGCAGCTGCAGCTGCCCCTCGTTTCCATGTCTCTGCCCCTTGGGCTCCGTGGAATTGACTTAATAATTGGCCCCAAACATTTTAATGAGCGGCATCTTGTCAGCGGCACGTTTTCCGCAACGGAGCCGTAGAGTCAACGCAAAATATTTGCAAGAAATGGCATTGGCATAATTACTTTGTGCAGCAAAGGGGTTGTCGGGTATATACTATATATATATGTTTGAATGGTGTGTCGGATGTGGTGTCGTCTGAGTGAGGCGGAAATTTGAATGCCAAGGCGTTGCTAATGTTAATGTGATATGCAGCCGGATGTGTATATCCACCCGGCTCCATTAAATTCCCATACACAAACATTGCGCATACGGCATGTGTGTCAGTGTGGCCTGGCAGGTGACAGGTGCTGCTAGCTCCCCCGCCCCCAACCACTCCCCCTTTTCACCCTTCCACTGCTCGAGGACCTGCAAGCGTTTATTAACACCCAAGTGGGAATGACACATCGTTGCAGCTCCGCTCCAGGCACGTCTGGCGGCCTTTCACACGCCTGTCAAACGCCGCTCCTCCTTGGGTGTCCTTTCCCCCTCCCCACTCCCCACTCCCCACTGCCCACCCCCAATCCGCACACTCCACCCACTCCTTCCTTCTGCTGTCCAATGCACCTAACAAAACTACCACGGCAACTGTGTCTTGTGTGCACTTCTTTTTCAAATATACCTTCTGAATGCTCACAACCCTGTACTGATTTTATTGTTAAAACTGCTTTAAATAAGATCACATTATTCATCATCAACGTCATAAAATAGTGCAGCCATCAATCTGTTTTTAGGAAATAAGAGATACATATAAAGTTTTATATTTTGTGCTTACCTTATTTATACGTGTATTTTCTAATTCGAAATCTGAGAACACTATAAAAATATGCATGTATTTTTTAGATTCCTAAACTTCTCGACTTTTTCTAAGTGAGTGGTTTATGTGCAACTTCGGCACGTAATGCCATGCGGCTGCCAATGCTGTGGACGCGCCTCTCCTTCGCCACCGCCATCGCCATTCCGTCGCTGAGCATCTCCTTCTCGAGGTTTTGCATAATTTATATAACCACGAGAGCCGCCAAAAAACCGCAAATCTCGCAGCGCCTCGTTGCACACACAAGGCGACATCGGCGACATCGGCGGCAGCGGCAACATGGCTGCACGGCAGCCATGCCGAAGAATGCCTCAGCCATGTGGCTGCTGCGGGGCGCGCTTAAAGTAGCCAGTGGTGGTTGCATGTCGACGTATTGATGGTTTTCCCATTTTAACTCCAAACATTTGATAATGGATGGCTGCGGGTTGTCAGCAATTTCGCTCGACTGCCTCGCTTTCAACAGATGCAAAAAGAAAAATTGTCAACTGGTTCGAGCTTTAAAGGTACACGATCAATTTTTCATAAGTTGATTCAGTCTTTTTATGCAATTTTGTGGCAGTTTAATTTCATTTTAAGTAAATCGAAGCACGTGTTACATTTAACCGTATTATTTTCTTAGTGCGCAAATTAAATATTTTAAATCAATTCAATTTGAAAAGCTAAACAATCTCATAAATAGAACTCACATTTATTTAGAAGTCATAATAATATGTATTTATGTATTTACAAAACGTGTATGTTCATACAAAAGAATGTGTTTATAATTACGAATACCTACGTTGAATAGTTCTATATGCTGGTTGTATCCTTCAGACCGCTTAAGGTAGCACCAGATAGAAGATAAAGTTTATCTAATGGAAACCGTTCAGCTTGTCTAAATTAAAAACCTTTCTGTAGCTTCAGGTCTGCAAATGTTTTGGGCACTAAATCGCCTAGTTTCTCCGTGAGTTTAGTGGACAATTTCAACTCATCGACTATGACAAAATATTGTCCATAAGGCAACGATGCAAGCAGTTCGTCGTTCTTCAACGCAAAGATCCTCGGGAATTCTTCAGCTTGGGGCCACTTGGCCAGCTCCGACTCCAAAATCCACCTGGCAGCCAGATCTTTGTAGTATCCCTCCCTTAGGGCATCCACTTTCTCCAGCTTCACCAAGTGTTCCAAGCTCTTTTCGTGATTGGCTGAAACATCGATGGCTCGCATTAGAAGGGCACTGGTAAGCAAGGTCCACTTGCTGTTGGGTTCGTATTCCAGAAGATCTAGGCAGGATTGCAGCTGGGTGTTCAGCTCAGCCAGTAGTTCCTTGCTGCAACTGGCGGCGGCATGTGGTGGCGCAAAGTAGAAGACTCCCTCTTCGTTGCCAGGAAGAGGTAATAGGTCCACCTCCTGGTCGGATAGTTTAAGGGAGTAGGCTGTGCCTCTTTGGTAGTCGAATGCCTGCTGGCACTTCCAACTGGTTCCACAACTGTCCACTGGCAGCCAGGACTGGAGCAGGACCCTTTGTCCCCCGCCAACCAGTTCAGTCTTAAGTTGCTCTAGATCTGGGTAGGGCTTGTCTAGGGCGAGGACTGCTCCGCAGGACTCCAGTCGGAAGGCAGCTATCCTGGGAGCCCGGTCCAGCTGGGCGCCACTGCCGAGCAGCCACCGCTGGTAGAACCAGGCACTGCTGTCGTTGGGATCCGTGAAGGCAGCGGTCAGCACCATCTCCAGCTCCTGCTGCAGCTTCTCCTCGCTCATGGGCCGGTCCCTTCGCTCGTTGGGATAGAGCTCCGGGAGCAGCAGGCTGCGGTGGTGCCAGCTGGAGTAGTTGGAGAAGTTCACCTTGATCTTCTCGGTGCAGAAGTCCAGCTCCTGGGCGGCTGGCACCGCTGCCTTGCCGGTCACATAGCGGCGGTAGTCCCAGGTGTGGAAGTTGCGCTCGTCGAACTTGAGGTACTTGTTGCACAGCTGCAGCTCCCGCTGCCAGTCCGCCTGCGGGTTCTGCTCCAGCGTCCAGCAGCGATGGTGCCAGGCGTTGTAGGACTTCGGATTGACCATCAGGCACTGCTCGGTGAGGTCCAGTTCGCAGGTGAAAATGGAGTGGGCCATGTCCTCCGCGAGGGGCTCCTTCACTTTGGGGTTTTCGCCCAAGGGTTCTTCTGCAGTGGGTTCCTCCTCCTTTTCCTGCTGAGGTACTTGCTCCTGCTCCTCCTTCAGCTTCGATAGCTTCTCCAGCACGCACTCCCTGCGAATGTTCCACAGGGTGCTCACGTCCGGATTCCGCTGCAGAATCTGGACCGTAAGGGTGAGCAGCTCGTTGTCCAGCTCCCCCGCCGCCCGCTTCTTCTGTATCCTTCCCATGGCGGCCCGGTAGGCCCGCACCTTCAGAGCCTGCTCCTTCTTCTTCCGCTCGCGCTCCTCCTCCGTAGTCCTCACTTTCACGCGTCCGTGCATCGCCCTAAATTGAATTATTTTTATGGAATGTATAAACACGGAAAATGTAAACAAACCAGAGATTGTGTATGCCTCACAGCAGGCTTCTAGCAAAAGCAATAGTAACTATTGTTTTGTTTTGTGTATTAAGCTTCTTCCAGTCCAAAAGGGGTGGAAGATTTCTTTTGCCACAATTAATAGATTTAATCGAAATTGCAAATATTAGTCAGCTAACATAAATATCTAACAGATGCGTAACAGAAATGCTTAACAGCAAAACTTAACAGAAGCGTAACAGATAAGCGCTAAACGATAACATTACCAGAGTTCGAACAACGTTTACAAACAGCCGCAAGTGTTATGCAGCAGCATAATTTCCCGATTCGTCAGCAAATACTTGCTCTCTCGCTGCGGTGTATATGTTTGTTAACTTAGTCCAAACCTAAATTCTGTTAAGTACATTTCTGTTAAATATTTCCGTTAGCCACCACTAATAAACGATAGTATCGATTATTGTTCGGTATATCGATATTCTGATAGTTGTTGTTCCACCAACCGGGTGGGTGTCCCCGGTTAGTCTGTATTCCCCCACGGTTGTGTGAATTGATTTTCAAAATGCTGTCTGACACAAGCTGCTTGCATTCAAGCGTTTTCAGAGCACATGTAACATTTTCAAGTACAAGAAACGTGAGGTAGGTGCCGCACAATATATACGTAAATGATTGTGGTTAGGTACAAATTTGCACCGTTTTTCAACCTAGTGGCAGCTCTGAGCGGCAAACCCCGTGCACCGTTACGCTAATTTGGAAATGACGTCTTCCAGTTTGTAGCGAAACTGGAGCCCTTCTCCGACGTGTTCCACCTTGAAAAAGCCGTAGAGCCGTAGGACTGGTAGGTGCGGACTCAAAGCTAAGCGGGCAGGATCTGCGGTACGCCTTCGTTAAAGTGGTTGCATGTTTGCGCAGGCGCGCCCCCCGCCGTTGTTCCAACTTAACTATCTCGACCCTACACCATCGAAATGACTGATGTCCTGCTCCGGAAGGCGTAGAGGAGAACGTCGTTTCGGAACTCGGCACCCCAGGGAAACCCTTGCCGTCGCCAACTGGTGAATGAGCCCGTGCGTTGCCTGTACGCAACGCAAGTGGGGGAAGCTGGAGGCTTTCGAGCCGACCTTGGAGCAGGATATGTCTCTGGTCGCTGTCAACTCGGCCTGTTGTAGGACATCGGACAGACATGGAGGCACTAGCTGGTTCCAGTCAAAAAGAATGCCCCATCCTGGCCACACCGACCACCTTGGTGATTATTCTGGCGGTGATGAAGCGACTTTCAAAGGCTCTATCGCTTTTTGACGAGTCGACCACCTGCCAGAACGATATGCTGGAGCCCCCAAAAAGCAATAAATGTATATATTCTTGATCAGCGTCAGCAGGCCAACCCAAATAATTTGTCATTAATTCAGACTGTACGCTGAAGGCAAACTAATTTCTCCATGCCAGTGCAGGTGGAATATAGGTTGCAATATAGGTTTGCCAAGGATCGAAAGACTATATCATCTTTTTAAAATGGAATAAATTGAAAGGGAATCATTGAGTCCAAGATACGACTCGCCAGCATTGAGAGATAAGCTCAAATTCGCCTACCAAACTTGTTATATTGAAATAATAATATTTACCCGAGTAATCTTCCAATAGGGGATGTTTACACATTTGCATTATTTAATTATAGATTCCGTCTGACCCAGTTGATTTGCGAGGGCTATTTGGTGTCTTTTGTTTGCCAAAATGACATGGTCTGGTTTTCCTGTCCAGTGCTTCGGATGTCGCTGATGATGAGACGGAACCAATCCTCCCCGCCCGATCGCAATTGCGACCTTCGCCTTAAATCGCCGCTTTGTTCGGCGTTGTCATAAAAATAGAAATCCCGCTCCATCGCCGGCCCTTTGTTATTGTCGCAGCTACTTCAATTTACTTGGTTAAGGGTGCTGCGAGTATTATTTCCACCTAAGCTGCTCGTCCTGCAGACAACCCTCTGCCGCGAGCATCCTGACCTGTTGGCCAGATTAGGACCGCACCCGAAAATCCGAACCCACATGAAAGCCGCATTTGAGAAGCGCAAAATCAGTCATAATATTTCAAATTTCATAAATTGATGCGTATCACATTAGGAGCGACAGCAGCAGCCGCAGTCTAACGGTAACGATGCCAGAACCTGCCACGCCCCCGCCTCCCCCTCCTCCTCCACACTCCTGTTCGTAGCTGTGAATCCACCCTCGGGAACTGACTTTGATAAACGCGATTTCAGCGGGTGGCGGCGACACGCCCACCTTTCAGCGTTGCGCAAATTTGCTGTTAAATAAAAAAAACTCCGAGAAGAAAGGAATATAAAAATGAATTTTTATGGGGGGAACCTTTTTTGAAAATCTAAAAGGAATAACAAGGAACAAGAAGTGATATCAAAAAATCGAAAGACTATTCAATTTATAAATGAAATGCAGGATTATTTTATTAAAAATGTATTTTTGTTCTCTGTCTGCTCTTGAAATACATAATTTAAAAAGATAAAGTTTATGGAGTTTGTGAGATCAAATCAGTTAATTTTTAAGCAAGGACCTCATTTTTTGTAACAGTGCACATCTTTATGTAGGTGGACGGCCATGTACATTTTCTTTGATTTTGCTGCACGATTGATTTTCCCGCTCCAAGACATCGCCGACGCCTTGGCAGAGTCCTTTTCATTCGCACCTGCTGCCGCCTAAATTGTTCCCCTACGAGTTTCCCGACTCCTGTCTATCCCTGGAACTCGGAGTCCCGAACATTTATAGGATATCCCTCCGCAGGTCCAGCCGTCGCTCATTTCAGTTCGCTCCTCTTCGCACAGCCATAAAACAATAAAGGGGATTTTGTATTTGTATTCCGAGTTCGAGTCCGAGTCACTCTCGCTGGAGAAATGCTCTTCTAATTAAATTTTATGACTTGCCCGATGAAGTTTCTGCCGGCTCTCCGTGATTGGGATTGAACTATTGATTGGTCACGAATGGAAGATTGCCCCGGGGCGTCTGGATAAGGCGGCTGCCAGGGGATGATCCTTCGGAGGAGATAGGAAGGAAAGTTGGGCAATGACGGCTGCACTTTAAGTAGCACTTCAACAGGGATTACAATTCAAAGGGCTCCTTTGCTTGAATTGAATTTGTGTATCGCGGGATTGCGCCAATTTATGTGTACTTTCCTTCTATTTAGAATTTAAGAGTGTTTTTGAAAGGAATAAATTGATTAGGTTATTGTACCAAATCAGGGTGAATGATATATGCTGGATACGAAATATTTAACTGAAATCTTGTTCATTAATATCTTTGGTAATTGCTCATTAAGCTGGTAATAGCATACGATGCAATCAACTGCGAAACAAAATACTTGGGGGAGCAGAAAGTCTTTCTTAAATTTCCTTAGATTAATTTGCTCTGCATGGAATGCCATTAACTTGTACGCTTTCATTTCCACCTGCTGCCGAACTTCAAGTGCTGCCATCAAAGTGGTAATCCAAGTAGACCCCAGTGAAATTCAGTGGTTTCTCCTTGGCCAACCCCCCCATCACCCATCGCCCATCCCCCACCCACCAAGCCCTCCCCCCTCGTTTTCGTTCATTCCACTGAGTTGGCTGCCAGGCAAATTTCAGCGATTTCCCGAGCATTTCGCTGCCACGCTGAAAATTGACACCTAATGCCCACGCAGGAGGAAAACTCTCGCATTCAGTGGCCCATCCTCCTGATGGTTTTCCATTCCCTCTCCCCTCACCGCCCATCCCTCACCCTTTTATCTACGTGGTCTTATACACCAAGAAAAACATGACAAAGGAAATGTCTCTCTATAGAAAAGGAGTATTTTGTATGCATTTCTTTAGGTGAATATGTTGTGAACAAACTAGGTGATTCATAAGGTAACTATTTTTGGTCGGCTGTAACTAAACCTAAATTTCGATTTAGTTAATATGCAAAAAGCGTTGTTTATACCAATTATACCAATAGTCGTAATATACCAATTTATACGCAATCAATTCTACAGCTTTCACAAATATGCTAATTTTACCCGACGGACTCTAGCCACATAAGATAACGCACTTAAAATGGGACTTCAAAATTATTATTCTAAATCCTAAAAAGCCACCCAGCATTTAAGCTTCGTCAGAGTAGAACCACCACTGAGTTCGACCGCTGAGTGTAGCTGAATAATGGCTAAGCGAATGCGCAGGCAATTGACGTAAATAAGAAGCAGCCTGGGCGACGTCAGCGCCACGATGACGACGCCTGAGTTGCCTGAAACCGGAGATGGCCGAAGGATGAGGGCCGTGGAAGGGCCTGCATACAGATACGTACGTATATAGTACGCCGCATACGGATGCCTTGGCCACAGCTTGAGCTTTGAAATTGGAAAAAGTTATGCAAATCTGCTGACGACAGGACAGGAAACGAGCGCACTGCGAAGCACAAGAAGTGAATTAGTTTTTATTTTCAGGCTCCCTTATTCCTTTTTCCCAGTCCAGTCCTGCCGTCTGCAGTCTGTGGGCGACAGTGTAAGCATGGGCGTGGCAAGAGTGTGTGTGGGCAGGACTCTGGCCGGATCCTGTCCAACTGTCGATTGCTATGTGTGCGCAATTATAATAATTGCAGAAATAATGGCAGCTACATCTAAGCAACTCCGTTGGCATGCAACGTGACAGAAGCAGGCGGGGCAGTGCCTTCAAAAAGGACCAGTACACTGAGAAATTTGTGTTGATATTAGCTTAAATGTCTGCAAAGTTCATAATCTGTTAGGTAAAGCAAAAAAGGGGGTTAACCGTCTTGGTTGTCATTTAATAACATAATTTATTCTAGGTAAAGCAATATTTGAAACATAAATTAGAGGTACATTATATTAATTGTTATTTTAAATGCTCGAAATTAAATTGAAAGGAATTCTCCCAGTGTAGTAGGGTGGCCAGCGATTGTGTGCGTAAATCGCTCCGTTGTTTACCGACGGCATTAAAGGATTTCCTGCCGCACGGCTCAAGGCTCAAGGCTCGGCGCTCGGCGTTTGGGATTCAGGGCTCACACAACGTGCCTAAATAAATAGCCCGGACCTCCTGGCCACGGAAAGAATGGCAGCCAGAGCTAGAGTCGGGTTCAGGCTCAGTCAGAAGGATTTAAATTCCCGTTCGGCGTTGTCCTAATTACAATTGCCAACGCTCCGCTGGCTCTGACAGCACTTACCACCCCACAGGGTCGGGA